TGTGTGTGTGTGTGTGTGTGTGTGTGTGTGTGTGTGAGAATCACTTGTTTTAAAGGAAACCACAATAAGCTACTGCAGTTGGTTTTGGCTAGAAAAAAGGGGGATTCTGACCATTTGCTTTTCACGCTGTGCTGGGAAATCTCGAGGAGCCTATTTTGGCAATCCCATTTGCAATCTCTTCCTTCAGTCCACATGGGATAAGGATAGAGACCTTTTGCCCATCAGTTTAACAAGCACCAGTGCAATGTTAAAGCTCAGATCCACTTGCAATTCTGCACATGTCTGTGAGAAACAGTATCTAGGTACAGAAGATTGTTAGCAGAATGTTAAAGAAGTACGTGAGGCAAGATCCCTGTTAGCAAAGACTCAGTTCTTCATAATGTATTGAATCTGAATACCCCCAAAATATTTTGTCTTACAAGACAAAAAGACAAGGCCCAAATTCTAGACTCTGCTAGAGCTGCTTTAAGTTTCTCTTGTGCTCTGACAGAATCATGCTGGCCCTCTGTGGGGAATTCCCCTGGACTCATGCATGCCATGACGCACTCAGCCCTACACCACGCTCCATGCAGTTCCTGACACAGAAGCTGCAGAATAGGATGGGCCAGGAGCACAGGAGGAAGAAAACCTTCAGGGATTTGTTCTCCAGCTATTCTGTGCTTTGGAGAAGCTCACAGGCAACTCTGCAAGCCAGCTGTGAATTGAAGCAGTGACTGGGACCGCACTGATTTATGACAAGGGCTCCCCCTACAAAGTGTGGGGATTCAGGAGGTTGTGATATAGCTCTGCTAGAGGTCAAGCTTCCAGCCTACAGACTGGAACACAGGCCACCGCACCTCTGTACCCAGCATGCAATATTCTTGGGCCACTGGACCCTCTACATAGACCTATCCCCACAAAATACTTCTAATGAAGAATCCTCCTGCGAACCTTCAGATCTTGATTCAAGCAAAGCACAGTCACAAAATGGCTCTTATTGTTGCTGTAAATGATGATCCATAGTGAACTCTCCAAGGACACTGAAGTTACTGGCTGGCTGCTCAAACTTGTTTATGGCATCTTCGAATCCTAATGCATTTGGCATTCAATTTCTTCCTCATCTTAGTATCTGCACCAGGCAAGTGTACTGCTGAATGTAGCAGGCAGGTAGAAAAACAGCTATGTGGGGTGCAGGGCATCAAATGGAATAATTTCAAAGTCTACATACATGCTAGGGCTAAAAAAAGTCCTAATCAAGAGTTGAGGATGCAGCTGATCAAATAAAGATAGCCTGCAGGCTTGTAACTACTGTCAGGGTGTACAGTCCAACATATGAAGGTTGCAGTGGCTGAACTGGATTGTGACAACCAATGATATATCCCTCTCCCATCAGAAGCACTGGACAGGAACACTCACCTGTGCACATAATATGTATGTGCTGTAATGCATATTAGATTGGGTCAGCAAGGGGAAATGGATGGGTTCCTCCTAACTCAGTAACCTAAGCACATAAAGGCCGTGCATCTCATTCTGCAAATTCACCCTACCATTTCTTGTTCTTTCAAACATTTTTCTAGGGAGGAGATGTGTGTACCTAAGCACAAATGAAAGATACCACATTGTGTATGTTCCATGTTGTGATACCATGGTGACTTCCTCTGGAAAAAAAAATGAAAAAATGTACAGAGTGAATAAGCTTCCTCTATGCAATAGCCGTTGTTTCCTCTCTTCTGTCATGAGTCACCACATCCCATTTGATGGGTTTCTTAGCAAATACCAGAGCTGATATTGCTAATCTAACTACAATCAACATCATATCTGTAAGAATGTTTCAATTAAAAAAACCCTCTCTTCTGGAGAGGAGAGGACTAACCAACCCATAGTTGGTAGTTTTAAATATCTAATAAATTGTAAAACTGGTCTAGATAGATTTAGAACTGTTTGACTATTTGTGCCATACTGTGAATACGTAAGGGGAGGCTTCTTCAGTTCAAGCAGTAATGCTGCATTTTTAACCTGAGTTCAGTTCCATCACTACTACACTTTATGACATTCTGGATAGCAGTGACGTGCAGCTTAAAACTGTGAAGCCCTGGGTAGTCACAAATTTGCCACAAAGTAACCAACATTTCTACACAAGAAATGGACAATAAAGACGTTCTCCTGCAGTATTACCTTAAACAGAATAAAAGAAGGAATTCATGTGAAGCTAAGCGAAGCCCTGGCTAAATTTCACCCTGGAAGATCCCATATCAGTGAGATTTTCACCCTAAGAATAATCAACAAACCAAGAGCATCAGATGACAAAAAAAACACATCATAAACTTCGGAGATTTCAGAACAGCATTTGATTGTCTCCACCATGATTTTGCCTGGGACACTTTAAAGTGTTCTGGTATTCTAACACAAATGATCATCACTGAGGCTTGAGGCCCTGACCTGAACAAATGGCTCAACACGCACGCTAATATCTAACTAGGATGGATTTGCTCACTTTTACTGTTTGGCACTGCAAATGACTATTAGAACAATGAGCACATGTACGAGCAGTTGATGAGGCTGACAATCAATTCTGAAAAAAAAAGCAAAATTCAGAACTCCTGCAACTCAACCTGATCATTACTTTTAGAACAGCCAGGGTGATACAGCATGCTAGGGAGCTGTGAGATCCTTTTAAGGTGTTGCAGACTGCTGCACAATATTAGCACTGTTAGGTCTGCAAAAACCTGCACACTATCTACAGGATAAACCCAGAGGGTGTGTCCTGATGAGTGTGCATGTGCAGGGGTGTGCATTTCCCATGGGACAAATAGCAACGGCACATATTTGTGTCACTGCTATTTGTACCTGGGCATACCCCTGCACATGCATGCTCCTGCATGGCAAATTGCCCTGAGTGGGGTAGGAGAGGCTGGGACCAGTGCCTGTGCTGGCCCCAGCAGCCTTACCTGAGGTCCTAGGGGGGCCTTCTGGGGCAGCAGCAGTGTCGAGCCAGCCACCCAAAGCCTGGCCATCAGCCAGAGCATGGCTCTAGCTAGCCAGGCTCCCTTTCTGGTGGTGCACACTGCTGTTGCATGCGCTGTGCCACTTCTTTAGTGGTGGTTTTTTTGACACTTGGATCTCCTGATGTCAAAAAAACCTGCTGCACTGCTAATTAGTAGCATGGCAAACAGGTACATGTGCTCTGTGTGCACACTGGGGTGCCTCAAATGGGTTTGAGGTGCCACAAACAGCACATGTGCACCCCTCAGGACACACCCAGAGATTTCAAACAGGGATCCATGGTGTCCAAACCATTCTGACCTGCTTTGGGCTTCCTGAGTTGTTTGCAATAGAAGAACTGCTCTATTATTTTCCATAGTCAAAAAATAAGTGAAAGCTAAGAGCTGGAATTTTTTAACAAGGGATACTTTGAGTCTAAAAAGGTTGTGAGCCAGTGCTCAAGAAAGCAAAGAAAAATGAGAAAGGAGTCTGTTACACACCTTGTTGGTAAAAAACAGGTTAACAGGGAAACCCAAAAGAAAAAAAAATCTCTGAGACTGACAAGTGCAAACCTACATTGTCATCCAGTCCAGAACTCTCCTCTGTGGGGCTGATCTATAGCAATTTCAACAGCCTTAGCGGCATCCTGAAGTGACTGGAACACAAAACTCAAATTTCTTACTTCAAGCCTACTACACCTCCCTGAAATAGCCACTCCCAAGACCTTAATCTACCCCTGTAGTTTACCTTGGACACTTCACTCCTGAAACATGCAGGAGCTCAGGTAGTATAAGGCTTGTGGCAGGCACAGCTAGAATGAGCCAGTCCCGAACATGTCAGAAGCAATAGACAGACATCCCCTTATCTAATTTTTCATTTAAACAAAGGCCTGTTCAGCAATGTTGTGTATGCTATTGTAACTCGTTTTTCTTCATTTTTATGGATTGTGCCTGCTTAGTAAAACGACTCTTTTCCATTTGTACAGTAACCCACTGGTTAAGAAACCCAAAACACTCCACTGAACATATACTTTCACCTGGGGAGTAGAGGAGAGAAAAAACCACACACAACAGATGTTCTTCACCTTGCTTGAGGCACTGCTGGAAGGTGTTCAGACACAACAGTGATGAGCCCACTACAAGAACTGTATGTAGCAGAGGTTAATTCATTCAATGGTATTGTGTACAACAGAAAGGAAGACACAGTCCTCATTTGGAGCAGCTTTCATGGTCTGGAGCATCTTTTATAAGGCCTTCAGTGATGTGATATGAAGAGAGATGGGAAAAGGAAAGGAGGGTAGGCAGTGAAAGAGAGAATTTGATAATAATTTAAGAATTCAATGTGAGATGGTGCAATGCAGTACTTGGTCATCTATGGTAGCCTCAACTGAAAACTGAACACAATGCGTCTTACCTAAGGCTCCTTGGCAGATATCTGTGCGGGTGGCACCTCCAACAATGAACTGAGGATTAGAGCACAGCTCCTAGAAGTGAAATAAATAAAGCATTTGATAAATAGACAGGGTTTGTACCTACACTGAGGGCTTTCCTTATCTTTCTCCTTGCAGATAATCCTACTGTATCCATGTACGTGGCCACCAAGTGTTATGGTGATTTCCATTACAATACAACAAAACCACTAAAGGAAGGCAACATCAGAGACATGAAGGAGATCAAGAACAGAGAATGGTACTGATACCGCAGAACAGGGAGGGGCCATTATGTCAACAGGTTTTCACCAAAGGTGCCATGTGATTGCTAATCTCCATCAATCCATATACACAGACACACGTTTGTGAACAAATTAACCTACCCTCCAGTTTTTAATACCACATCTGAAAGACCCCAGTGGAGTTAATTGCAAGGGACTTCTATGCACTTTGGAATGACTTACAACTGAGTTGGCACTTCTAGTATCTTAATGGGTGTTTGGAGGAAGCTTGAAAGGAACAGGGTGTTTATATCACCAGGTATGGAGACAGAGTAGCATGTTGCACAAATCACTCCCCCTGTTTGCACTCCCTACTTTGCTAAGGAAAGCAGTTTTCTAAGGTGACGCATTATAACTGTGAAATGAATGGGCATTCATTTCTAGTGGTGGAAATTTTCCACAGCTAGAAATGTTTCCGGGAGAGGGAGCAGTACAGGTATCTAGCCTGCAACCATCCCCTCTCTCCTGTCTCTTCACCTTCCTGAGACCAGGGTGATCCCAGTCTGGGGAAAACATGGGGAGCAATGACTGCTCCAGTTCTCTTGCTCCCAGGGGTACTGGAGCAATGGGGCAAAGTCCCATGCCCACACCTCATACCGGGACCCTGGTGTGAGAGAGCTGGTGGGGAGAAAGCAGCAGCTGTTCCTCCCCTCCCAAAAACCCTGGTTTAGGGAAAGCAGGAAGCCTTTCCCCACTACTCGACTACTCCTTGGACTAGGAGGAGGCAAGCACCAGCTGCTCCCTTGCCTTTCCTGGTCTAGATGTAGGAAATATTTCCTCACTGCTCAGCCCCTCCTAGTCCCTGAAGGAGTCAGGTGGCAGTGAAGTGTATAGGCTTTCATTCCCTGGGAGAAATCCCCCCAGGACTGACCTCTACAGAATCGGAGATGGATAATTTTTTCTCCTGGAACCACCATTTTTGTTTTGGGAGAAACTCTGTGAATGCCTATATGCTCATGGTTTCTACCAGGACAGCTAAGATTTTCCTGGTAGAAATGTAATGCCTGCATGGGTTGTGGTCTGTACCAAAGCAAACACATTTATCTGGGAATTTTAGGCTGTAAGGCAAAACAGCAGGCAAAGTTTATTTTTTTCCTTCCTGAGGAAACAGAATTCGCCAATGCCCTAGGCTACCAGCCCTGTCACAAAAGTGCCTATGGACTGCATTCTCTAGTTATTGGGCTCCCGCCTCTGAAGGTTTTTCCATTTGTTCTTGGACTTGTTTCAACGGTCTTTGGACCAAATTCCTTCCTGTGTGCAATTCTTTTGAGTTTAAAATGTGTTATGCAAAGGATAAATCAGGGCCTTTGCAAAGGCACAGAATCGTGACTGACACTTACAACAGCTTTATTCAAATATACTTCTGCAAAGGAGGAGCGCTGAACATGGGGGGGTGGGGTACTACTAGGTTGTGGTGTTTTTTTTGGGGGGGGAAGATTTGCGGGGGGCGGGTTGCCCAGCTGCCTTTCTACATTAGTAAAAGCAGAGGGAAGCATAGCTCAAAAGTGGGGGTGGAGAAGGCAGTCTGACTGGGAAAACTGAATTGAAATCATGGTGACTTAGAAAATGGAGGGCGGCAAAAGCAACCCCACGTGCTTGGGGCACAGGAAAAGTACAAGTTTTGAGAAGCCTGTTGCAACACTTCTAAAACCTGACAGGTATGTTTTACAAGAGACCTCTTGGAGCGCAGAGCTTGGTGCTCAGGGTGGGGATAATTTGCAAGAGCTGGGCACAGATTCATACCTACTTACACCAGCTGTATCCAAACAAATTACAGTCAGGAAGGAAATACAGACAAATGGATCGACTCACATCCCAAAACAGCTGGCTGGCACTAGAAGAGTATAAGTCCCTGCACTAGATGTGTGTGCACATGCAGCACTATATATATATAGGAAAGCACCGAGGGCACACAGAGAAAAATGAATGTGGTTTTTCTTACATGCCTTTTACTTCCTGGAATACTTGCACTGAAAATAAACATAACTGGCTGGCTTCAACTACTGACTTCTAGTTTACAGGAAAAAATATTTACTTGTATTGAGCTCAGGATGAGCAAAGCAGTCGACTAAAATAAGTTTGTGAGCGATTCTCCACTTGCATCAACGTTACCCATGTAGCTCCACTGACTCCAGCAATTACTCTGACTTGAACCTCCTTCAGAAGTGAATCAGGTGCTCGCTCGGACTGAACTGAATCTTGCTACAATTCGAAAAAATCCACTGAATCTTCATTTTCATGCCTCAGTATTTAAGTCCTAAGAGTCCCAAATTTCCTACCAACTTTCCAACTAGGTTTCTATAACAAAGAGCCTTGGAGAAATCCGAACAAAACCTCTGAGGCTTCCGAGATTAGCCTGTTTCTATTCATCATGGAGTTCCTAATTTCCTGCATCTCCAGGCTCAAGTCCTGCTGTGTGACAGCACCACACACCTCTCAAGCGCCTCCCTGGGTCCTTTGGCAGCACATTCCTACGGCAGAAGTCAGTACTGTACTTTCTTGGAAACGTTCGCAATCAATAGCTAGGTTTTCACTATGGCGTGCCGCAGCTTAGAGAAGTTGTATTTCTCCTCCAGTGATAGCTGCACATGGGACACAATCAAGTACTGCTATTTATCTGGGGGCCCTTCAAGACAAGGGAACTCTCAGCCACTGTTTCAGGGCAACATTTTCTATCACTCTGTCAGGTTTTATTTAGTCCTTATCCTGCCAAAAAGGGGCCCAAGATAATAAATGTAGATCCAGACCTAAGCCTGGGGCAGTTCTGTGCCAGAGGCTGGTTTGGGTGTGGCCCATCAGCAGGGAAAGGGACAAGATTGAAGACTCAGGTCGCATTCTCCAATGCATGGAGTTATTTCCACACAGTCCTGCCCAGTTTGGTCCATTGTACCTGACTTCTCCACCCACAGCAATTGTTCTGACAGGAGGAGGGAATCCCACTGTCATCACTGCAACCTCCCCCTTTTCAGCCAAGCCAGCCCATACAGTAACTGTATCAGTTGGTGTCCACATTTGATCTCCCTTTCTCCCTCCCCACAGGGCCCATTTTCCTACCGTTGGTCTCTTCCATACGATGCCCTGAGTTTTGTATGAATTTGGTCCCAATTCTTTGTACCCCAGAGAAGAGGCAGCTGCAGGGAAGGATGGATCTTGGAAGAGTTTCCCCGCCTCAAGGCACTCCTTCCTCAGTGTCTCAAAGTCCTGATTGAGGTATTTAATGGCTTTTTCATTGGAGCCTAAGCCCCTTGCTGTTTCTCTGTCCTTGGCTAATTTAGCTGCAATACCAGACATGTTTGCCTTCTCCTGCTGCTGCTGTGGGTAACATAAAAATGCGAGCCTTCCTGCTGCTCAGCAGAGGGACATCTGAGACATAAAGAAAACAGCAGCAGCAGTGTGTGGAGCCAGAGCAGGGAGTGATTCATCAGAGGGAAACAAAAAAGACCCAAGCAGGCGTGGCTAGTGCTTAAAGATGCAGCTTCTTCCTGGTGCCCCTCTTGTGATTTGAGTCAGTGGCAGGGTGCTGGGAGGAGTCTATTGTTTCCAGCAGTGTATCTTGCAAGGCAGAATCCTCCTCATTGGGATGCTCCCAACCATAGCCTCTTAAGCAGCTTGTCTGGTTTAGAAAGGTTCATTCCCTTAAAGAGGGAGCTTACATGAGCCAGTATAATAATCCCCACTCTGTGGAACAGATCCTGGGGTATTTTCGCTCCAAAGCATGGACCTCTGCCATCTGACTTAGTTGTCAGGAACAGCAGCAATAGGCTCTTAATTTGCCTCGTGGGCCAGCTTGTCAGAGGGGGTCACGACACATTTAGCCACTGCGAGGCACACTTTGACTGCCAGGGAAACTTATTCTGAAGTCCTCAGCAGCTCAAATCCCCTCTGGCGTATCACTTATTCATGATCAATGGCATGAGTTGTCAGCAGGAATAAAAACCAGGACTTCAGCACCAGCACACAAGCCTTCATGGTCAAGACCAGAGGTGTCAAAGGTATGGCACATGGGCCAGATCCGGCTCATGAAACCATATAATCTAGCCTGTGGGTCTCTTGTAGGGGCCAGAAATAAGGAGGTGAGGTGGGGACCACTGCCAAAGTCTGGAGCATAGTGTCCTAATGGGGACGTCTATCAGCAGTGGAGGGGCAAACAATGAGTGCATGTGGCTCAGGAACCTGTGGTGGCTAATGCCACTGCCGCTTGCCCTACTGCCAGAGGTAAGCCTGGATCCAGCCCATGAGGAGCCCTGCAGTTCAAAACCAGCCAGGGGGTCATGAGTCTGACATCCCTGATAAATGCTAGATGTGATATATATGCAGATTGTATGGAATATGAAGCCTTTGTTTTCTGCATTTTACTCTGAACAAGTTTGCACTTGAAAAGGAATGGGCCATTCCTGTATTTGGTATTTTACCTTGGGCTCCTTGGGAACTGAAGCCTCAGTGGAACTGGGGGATCATTAATAAATGTAAGATTTTTCCCCATGACAGAGTATGAAATGTTTGAAGGGAGTGTTGAATCTTTTCTACCAATGCTCTGCAGAATACCCAGGAAAAACAGCAAACTTACTATCCAAATAGCATGCATAATCCTTCTCCCCTCTCTCCACCCTGCCCCCCACAAGCAATGCATTGTTCTGTTGTCTTTCCTGCAGTCCCAGATGGCAAGATATTTGCAATTACCTCTATTATAGTTAATTACATTATCGCCTAAAGATCACGATCCCATTGTGCCAATCACTGTACAGGACAGTCCTTACCCTGGAAAGCCTAAAATCTAACTAGAGAAGACGGAGGAAGGATCTACATTTTACAGGTAAGACAACTGAGACAAGGAGACATTAATGTGCTTTGCCCAAGATTATACAAAGTCTATGGTGGAGCCAACAAATGAAGCTTTGATTCATGGATCCTAACCCAGTCAGTGCTCTGCGCTCTTCTCCTACATACCATAATGCAATGAATGAAGGCCCTCTGCTGTTCTGGCTCTCAAGCCATTGGCTCCTAGTGCTGCCAGGTCATGTGGAAAGTTTGCTAAATCACAAGCAAGCCCAGCATACCCAATAGAGAAGTATTTTTTTTAAATTTAATTTGTATCCGAGGCCAAATTAGCCACAACTAATTCCAAATCCAAGAGTCCAGAACCATAAATGACCCTACTACTGGCAAATATCCTCCACCCGCACCTGGGCTTCAGATGTTTCCTAAACGTTTGGTGGGCATCCTACGTGCAGGCTGAAGCCCGGAGGCTTAGGGTTCAGATGCTCCCAAGTTTTGCTTGCCCTCAGCCATAAGGTCCTGGGAGCAAGCAAGGGAGGAGACTGCCATTTCCATACATGGGGCTTAAAGCTGCTGCACCTCAGTGGGTACTGAACCAGCCAGAAGAGCAGCTCTCCTGCCAAGCGGTTCAGGAAAACTGCCTTCTTGCACGCAATAGAGAAGTTTGTTTGTTTGTTTTTTGTAAAAATATCTCTCTCTCCCTCTCTCTCTCTCTCTCTCTTTATATATATATATGATTATATATATCTACACTCCTCATATCACACCACAAAAAGAAAAAAAAGCCCTTCACCTGTTCCAAAAACTGCACCCATGCACCCGTACAAAGGCCTACTGGCCACCTGAACCTGTTACAATATCCACATTGTGCGCAACACACACCAAAACAAAAAGCATATCCTGGTCCCTCAGACCAGGCAACACGTCCTTTCCATCCCTGCCTCACTTGCACGGTCATGTACAGGCATACCTCGTTTTATTGCGCTTCACTTTATTGCGCTTTGCAGATATTGCGTTTTTTACAAATTGAAGGTTTGTGGCAACCCTGCGTCGAGCAAGTCTATCGGCGCCATTTTTCCATCGGTGCCATTTTTCCAACAGCATTTGCTCACTTCATGTCTC